TCTGATGCAGGATTCTGTCTGCTTCAGGTTCAAAAACCTTAAGCAGATTATCTCATTAGACATAAAATAGCATCCACTACAGGACACTGGAAATGTTGTCTAAAATATACTACAAATAAATAAATGCATTTTCATGGAAGTAAAAAACATCCCTAGGGACCAAAAAATAAATAGGAAGCTACAGATGCAGGCGGCAATCAGCAGCTGACACTCAGTTTGGGGTTCTAACAGCACGTGGTATGCAGAGGGCAAGACCCCAGATCCAGGCAAGGCAGCACCTGGCAGTCAAGACCAGTGTCAACAGTGACTTACAGGCAGGCAGTCTTTGGACCTTATCCCTTCCAGCCCTCAAGGGTCGCTTCCCTTTGTTTCCCAACCACTCCACTCCATAGCTATTCACTCTCAAGGATTCTGCATTCTGGAATTTTTACTTGACTAACAATTATCTTCTATTAAAAGTAATGGTTGGTTATTAAATGCTCCACATCCTTTCATGTTAACTTTATAATTAACTTGTCTATGAATTAGCAAGTTGTTAGCTAGTAAAAGATTAGGGTGTGGTTAGAACCCCCCGCCACCGCCACCACCACCAATAACCCTTTCTTTCCCAGGAAAGTGATGTTCTAGAAATGAAAGGAATAGGATGAATGAAGCAGAAAAAAAAATTAACAGAGAGGCCAAAGAATAAATGAAAAGAAAAAAAAAATCCCTGTTCCCCTTGTTGAGCCAGACTCCTAACCTCTGGAGTTTCCTGCCCTTGACTGACAAGCACACCATCTACCCAGATGGCCAAACCAGAGATTTACATCCCGCCCTATCCCTTTTCCTCAAGTGCTACCCATTTCACCCCCTAAACCTCTTTCAAACCTATCCTCCCTCCATATCCATTGCCATCCCCTTCACCAGCATTTCTTAATTTCAGCACTATTGGCAGCATTATTTGGTAGGGGTTGGGTAGCCCTGTACCATATAAGACATTTGGAAACACCTCTAACCTCTATATCCTAGATGTCACAGGGGCCCCCAATTCCCAAGTGAACCATGAAAAATATCTCAGATATTGCCAAATGGCCCTTGGTGAGCACCACAGCCCCAGCCCCCCTGATCCCGCCCTCCTCCTGCTGGGCAGCACTTCCTTGTATCAAGCGGACTTCACTTCTTGGCTAATATGCTGCAAGAGCTGCCTCCACCAGATGATTGTACCCCGCGCAGTAACCCACCCTCCACGCTGCAGCCCCAGCCACATTCCTAACTGCCATCTGGTCAATCCCTGCTTAAGGTAAGCTACAGTGGTTTACAGGCCATTTCTCTTTGAATAAGACCCAAGATGTCTATTATTGCTTTGGAAGGTCCAGCTGTTAACTCTCCAGATACATTCTGTCCATCACTGCCTCCTGCCTCTCCTTCTTTCTCCAGCCCAGCCACACAAGCTAACTTTTCAGTCCCTGAAATGGGCCATTCTCTTTCTAGCCACTCTGGTTTGCTGCAATCCTTTGCCAGAAACATTCTCCCCATGCTTTGCAGCAGTCTGAGAGTAAGCAAAGAAATTATCTTGAGTGCTTTGGAACACTCTGTGACCTAAAAAAAAAAAAAAAAAAAAAAAAAAAAAAGTTGGATGTATTTTGATGGTTGAAAAGAGGACGCTCTTTATAGGAGACAGAGACACAAAGATTAGTGACAATCAACAAAAAGAGAAGATATAGGACAGTGTGTTAAGAGAGTCATAAATTTCATATTCTAGGGTCTGTTCTGTCACTCACAGTTCCTGTGATCAGTTTTTAATTTAGGTACCATGAAATTCCTTTTTGGGGGAGAATGTATAACTCTGAGTTTTAACACATACAACCACCACCACAATCAGGGTATAGAACAGCTTGATCACCCCCAAGAAATTCTCTCCTTCTGTCCCTTGGGAGTCAAACCCTTCCCCGCCCCAGCCCCTGGAAACCATTGAGCCATTCTTTGTCCAACTGTCCTGCCTTTTCCTGAGGTCCATACTTAATCTCTGAGTCTCTCCTTCACTCATGAGATTATATATATGTTCTCTATTTATTATGTTTATATGTTTATATGTATTTATATGTTTGTATTTATTATATTTGATAAATCTATGCCATCTTCTTTATATTACAATATTAACTTGCTTATGATGATTGTTCACCTGCTGCAGTAAGAAACCTGGTATCTGACAAGCACCCTTCTGAAGTTTATATTGAGGACCAATGTCCAACTTTTGAAATTCTGCATCTTGCACTTCCAATCTTCTCCTGAAGGCTGGCTCTAGTTCTAAATGCTCCCTGAGTAGACTGGTAATTTTGTTCATTCCTTTATAGCTATGAGCTCTAAAATGTCCCTTAAACTCTCCAAGACCTTGTCCTTCCTCAGTTTACCACGCTGTAGTATCCTAAAAAGCCAACTGTGATTTTCCTTTCAGCAGTCTTCACTAGGGGCACCGAAATTGCTGTGACACCTTGCTATTTATGACATTGCCCCCGATTGCCTACAGGTAATGCTGACGACAGTGTTAATCGACATGCCGACTACAGTAGAGGCCAGTTTCACTTCTACCTTCACAGAGGATCTAATATTAAGAAGCTCACTGCCTTGGCTCACAGAGGTGCTAACACAGGTAAATCACAAGAATACTGTATATAACACTATATAGATTTAATAAGTACACTTGACAAAATCACTCGAAATTCTCTTCTGGCATAATACACAAGGGCTAGCTGTAATTGTTTAAATAACTGCTTCCAAAAAGTGTTGATTAAGTAATTGACATCTCCCTAAAATAAGGCCTCCGGTGGTATGCTATAGGTCATTAAACTAAGGTTTCTCCTATTTATACATTTTAATTAATGAATGGTTGAAGATAGAGAAATACTATTAACAAATTTATAAACATCATAGATATTTGGGAGGATCAAAAAATTATGTTGGAATCATATTTCCAAAAGATTTCCTGAACAGGCATTTGGCTCAGCTGTTAAGCCATCGTTTAGGATACCTGCATGCCATGTAAGAGTGCCTGGGTTCATGTCCCTACTCCACTCACCACTCCAGCTTCCTGCTGATGTGCACCTTGGGAGACAGTAGGTGATGGCTCAAGTGCCTGGGTCCCTGCAGCCCACACAGGAAACCAGGATTGAGTTCCCAGTTCCTGGCTTTGGCCTGGCCCAGCTCCAGGTGTTGTATATACTTGGGGAGTAAACCAGTGGATGGGAGATCTCTTTCAGTCTCTCTCTTCCTCTCTGTCCCTCTGCTTTTCAAATAAAATTAACTAGCTTCTAAAATATTTCAACATCAGTTAAATGGAGCAAAACAAACTAATAGGCTGAAATATAATGGGGAGAAAAAGAAATCACTGCACAAACACAGAATGAGACAGCTAGTGTGATGCAGCTGACCTGGTAAGATCTGGTGTGTTAGTAATTATAAATTCAAAATAAGTCATCAACATGGCATAACTTATTTGGAAAAAAAAGCTCGCACTGTTACACTGTTCTTTTCAGGCTCACCAATGAATGCCACGCTACAAGCTCCAGTGGTCAACGCTCAACCTCATTTCCACCTGGTGACAGTGTTTAACAAGGCTGTCATCCATTCCTCCCACCTCACTTTGCCTTTCTTCACCTGATACTCTCTTGGCTCCCCTACCTCACCAGCTGAATTCTTGAGCTTCCTTTAGGACTGGTGACTCCCAAATTTGTATCTCCAAAACCAAAATCTTTCCAATGAAGTCCAGCCTCTTATAGAGATCTGCCTCATCATCATAGAAACCTCCCAATCCCAAACCATGTTTCCTGTAGCCTTCCACATCTCAGCAAACAGCAATTCCAAAACTTTTGTGTCATTCTTGATCTTCCTCTCTTTTTCACACTGTATATCCATCCCATTAGTAAACCCTGTTGACTCTGCCTACAAATATATATCTGAAATCAGGTCCCCTCTGTGCATTTCATTGTTCTGTCGCCTGTCTTCAGGATTGTTGCAAGTCACCCACATGGTCTCCTTACTGCCAACCTGGAAACCTCATCCCCACAGTCACTCTGTACACTGCAACCAGAAAGATCCTTCTCAAAACATGCATTCATTCCGAGTCCAAAAACCACATCTGAGAACAGAAGAGAGAATAATTGCTGCCCTCACGAAGCCTTTGCATTCTAGAAGGGAACAGATGATAAGCCATGAATACAACAAATAATCGAGTAATACAGTCGATCCATAAGTGCATTGGGGAAAATTCAGAGCAGGTTAAAGGCAGCTGGTACCAGGACAGAAGGGTTCGTGTTGTGGATTCAAACAGGGAGGCAAGTCTCCACTTCACTGGCCAAGAAAATTTTGAGCAGGGACTTGGAGAAGGTAAGGTGTTGGCCATGCAGCCCTCTGCAGGGAGAGCATTCCAGGCAGAAAGGTGTTAAAAGGGAGTCTCTCATAAAACATTCTTTTTTGATTCCCTAGTCTGCTAACTTACCACATGATGAGCTGAATGATATAAGATTTTAAACTTGTTGCTTTTGTCTAAATGTTACTTGCATTTTAATTCTTAAATACTTTCCTAATAGGCTACAAGTGCTTTTTCAGAAAAGATAAATTAAGTGAAGTATTAGAAACTACTCATGCAAGTGAGCTGTAAGTATTTTTCTAAAATTTAATTAAGAGTTTCATCTTTCATTCCATTGAATTTCTTTTGTGGTCTATAAAAAGCCATTTGGAAGGGCTGTATTTTTTGATATGCATATTTGACATTTAATAGTGAGAAAAAAAAAGCAAGTAAGTGCATCAAACATGGGAGATCAACTGGATTACCTTGCTAAGAATACAAACATTTTTAAAATACGAATAGTAACTGATTTTTCAGATTTTGTCAGTTATACAACTAATGATGAACAAAGTCATCAGATTTATTAACACAACAAAATTAGTACAAAATTATGGATTGTTCAAAGCTTGTTAGTTTCCACCTAATTGGATGAGGCCAGCCCGATGTCTGTTTTTACCTTCCGGTGGTCTGTTGGATGTTGCCACAACGACGACCCCGTTTTTGAACAGATTTTCAAAAAGCTGTTTCAGAATCATGGCATCAGCAATGTCAGTGACCTATGGACAACAACACATTTGTTTTACTTGAATTTCACTTCTGCTCTAACAAATTTGCTAATGGCTCAGCTTTTTATTTTTTTTTAAGATGGGAGTGAATTCCAAGAGAAAAATTCTAATTATCATCATGAAGAAAAGAGTAGATAATTAAAAACATGAAAGACTGTATGACAGTCTTTTAAACTTGACTTCGTTTTTTGCAAGCCCACCATTTCTGCACAAATCATCAAATGGCCCTATGTTAACTTCTTTAATAGAACCACAGGTGGAAGGCATAGATAATGGTTCTGAACATTTAGGAAACCTAACTAATTAGAACTAATATGACCAGATCCCTCCTCTTACTGCCACTCACAGCTCCCCACCCCCCATCAAAAAAGAGAGAGAGAGAGAAAGAAAAAGTTGGGGGGATAATAAAATACGCGGGCTATTTGTGATTTCAAACACCTTTCTGGCAAAGGTCCCTGAAAGGTGACTTCAAATGGTTATGGGACTTCAGAAATAAGGACAAGTAGCCAGTGAGACATAATCAGCTGCTGTTGAAAATAGAATGATATGACATAGATACTATTGTGCAATTGTTGCACAAAACAATTCAACAGATGGCCCATCACAAAAATAAGCAATTTCATTGTTCTTTTTAAGTGCCTTCTATTACTGTCCATGAATAATCAAAAGGCACTGCAGTCACTTCCAGCACAGCCAGCCTCTGCTAACCTTTGCAAACACAAATACTCCTTCCACCAAGAAAGAGAGAAAACCAACCTCGCCAGAACGGTTAAGACAGTGCTTTAAAAAAATAACGTCTCACGGACCGAGGAAAGCATGATTGCAAGTAAAACCCCTCCAAGTTAGGTTACAGAGGAACATAACGATGGCTCTTTTCTAAAATTCTTTTTAAAATTCATAATTAAAAAAAGTAAGCTTACTGATATTTTTTGAAGCAGGTTTTAAAATTCACAACGAAATAACAGCCATTAAGGAGGAAGGAAACTGACTTCCAAAACAAATGCACAGTGAAGCCTGATATTAATCATTGCAACTTCTCCTAAGCAGTTAATAACACGGGTTTCAGTGACTACTAGTAAAAAAATGTTCTGGTTTTTCTTTACTAGCACATTTCAAATAACCTCTGTAAAGCTTGCTTAAATATATTCACAAAATATATCACACTGTTATTTTCAGACCATATTAGAGAACATGGAAACTCATGGGATTCTTTCAATTAGATCAAGATACTAAGTTACCAGCTAACTGGTTATGAAACAATTGGTGGATTGCACAGGTTTAAGTTGCTTTTCTCCTTACTGTTGATATCTTACTTAAAAGTTTAATTTTTCTCACCTGAACAAACCAAACCATGAAATGGGACTGTATTTTTTAATTTTTTTTTTTTTTTTTCTGTCTCAGGCTATACCTTGAAAACATTAACCAAGACACGACTGAAAATTCCTTACACTAAAGCAACTTCAGGAACTTCCACAGTGGTGATTAAAACAAATAGAAAGTGGTATTGATGTTATCTCATTTGGAGATTAAGAGCACTGTCAAATTTCGCTTCTGAAAAAAAAAAAAAAAAAACCATGCTCACAGAGCTGGTCCTTTTCAAATGCATAAACACCAGTGGCATTTCTGATGAGAGGACAGAACAAGCTCACAAATTTTGGTAACAAGAACACTTTGACATTGGAGTCCCAGTACTTTGAGTTTTTGAAAGAACCATGTCAATGAAAGGTTATCTGATTCCAGCGCATAGAAACGATCACTTGACTTTAGCATGAATGGTTCTGAAAAAATTAAAAACAGCTTTTGTACCCGAAGGTTCAGAAAACTGAAGGCCCATGTAACTCCCGACACAGCGTAAAGGTTTAAAGCTGGAAACCGAAGAAAGCAAACGGGAAAGGCTTGCGGTTGAGTTATACTTGTTGTTTTTATATTGCAGAATGGTTTTGCCTGATCAGAGTAAATTAACTCGGAGAAGCTATGACTCATTAATAAAGCAAGAGTCACTTGGGGTAGCCGGGTGCCAACGTATCCTCTTTTGATCTCAGCCCAGCACTTGTTGGGCTTTGCTGGGGAACAGTAATTTTACAGTACAAGTGAACAGAAGACAATTGGCTACACATTCTTGGAGAGGCGGCTTTTTCAGCACCCAGCATTTCATTACCCAGGGGAACAAAAAGAAGGCTACAGATTACCAATAAGGGTAGTCCGCTAATACAGAGAGTGGAGACATTTCATTAGCATTAAAGAGAAAAGATTTTTTTAAGACCTAGAGTTGCTTTCCATTATGACTCACTTAAGTAAAAAGAAAAAAAAAAAAAAAGCCTAATGGTTAATTTACATGTGTAAGTGCTCGAGTCTCAGTCATCCTGATTGGTACAGGGCCTGTAATGAGTGACAAACATAAGCATGCATTATCAGTAATTAGTATTAGCACAAAAATAAGCACCTATTTTTTATTAGCAGTTTTTAATAGCTTTTCTGCTCTATAAAAATGGCTAAAACTATTTTTTAAATGATATTGCTAGCTTACAGAGGAGAATTTTGCATGATACTATGTTCATCAGAATTCTTTTTTTCTTCTTTCTATTTTTGGCAGGGGAGGAGGGAGGGAGGCCATATTAGTAAAACATTGATTTAGTGTCCCTAAAGAGAGACATGAAGAAATGACATTTGGGAAAAATGTTTCCTTCAGTACTCGGATGTCTTCAGCCTACCAAATGGCTTAACAGGTAATCCACACATTCAAAGAGCATATAGTTAAGATCCTAGAAAACTTTTATTTCAGCAGCTAAAACACATAAGAAAACAACCTATCTAGACACATTTCACAATGAAAATAAAAACAGCATATGTGATACCACAGGTAAAACTGCAATACCATCTGTGCAATAGCAAAGACAATCGAGCTAGTGAAGAATACATTTTGCAAACGTCATCTGAATGTCCCCAAAGCAGAATCTTAAAAATCCCTCAAATTCGAGCACACACAAGAGAAAAAGTATACCCTTGTATTTAAGTAGCAATAATTCCCATTCAACTTCCTAGTAAAATAAATATTATATTAATTAACATCACCTAAAGGCCAACAATAATTAGCTAAAAACACTACTAGTATGATTCAATTTTCATAGTGAAGTGGTGATCGTAGATGTACTGTTGTTAAAAATAAAGTGCCTAAAATATTATTTCCTCATAAATCAGCAAGTATTGTACGGGGCAATAGGCTTAAGGATAATTTTTTTGGTTTTTATTCCAAGGAAATCATGTAGCAGAGCTGTTACCAGTAAGTAAAAGCATTGACACTAGATTTAAATTGTTAGTTACTGTGTGACTTTGGTAAATCACTTAACCACTCTGATGCTCAATTTCCTCATCAATATAATGAAAGCTGTAATAATACACGCCTTGCAAAACTGTTACAAGACATATAGTAAATTCTCAAGAAATGTTATCTGTAACCATTACCTATATATAGTATGTGTGCTGTTATAATTCATATTATTAATGGATAGAGTATAGCATTTTAGCAACAGATGGACTGATGCATAGTACTGTACTGTATGTAGTTAAGAACATAGGCAAATAGAGTTTACTGAATAAACAGTAGCTAATATTACAAAGCGTACATGGTAGATGGAATAGAAGCATCCCAATAAATAAATGGGCAACACTTCAGTTGATAAAAGATAGACTGAACTAGTAAATAATCAAACATGGGGGGAGGGGAGAAATGAACCACATAATTACTTACAGGAGCAAATTAAAATAATGAGATACTAATTTCCATCTATTAAGTTAAACAAAAATGTTCAGATAATTCAGGATGTTGATAGAAAAAATATCTGAGTTGATGATGTAATATGCCTTGGATTCTATAAACGCTTTTACCCGAGAAAGGCTTTTGAATACATGGGAAGGGGCCAGCATTGTGGTGCAGGGGGTAAAGCTATTACCTATGAAACAGTGACATCTCATATGGGCACCAGTTCTTGTCCTAGCTGCTCCACTTCCAATCCAGCTCCTTGCTAATGTGCCTGGGAAAGCAGCAGCAGATGACCCAAGTGCTGGGGTCCTTGCACCCACATGGGAGACCCAGATTGATTCCCAGCTCCTGGCTTTGGTCTGGGCCAGGCCCTGCTGTGGTGGGCATTTGGGGGACTGAACTAGCAGATGGGAGATATCTATCAAATAATTTTTAAATACAAAAATAATTTTAAAAATAATAAACACAATATATGTTAAAAGGTGATGAATGTTACAAGAAAAAAAGGGCACTGGGGCACTAGGAGTGTGAAGGTGAATACAAAGTGCAGTTTCGGGCACAGTTTTAGGATAGGCCTTGTTAGGGAGGAGGTAATGGAATGAGGGTCTGCAGAGTGAGAGTGACTCTAGTGGATCTGTGGGGCTCTAATAAGAAGGACACAGCAAGGTCACTGCTAGGCATCACTAGTAGAACACCACACCCAACTGGCTCAAGCCTGTGGCCAGAGACAGGAACTCTGAGGCAGGAACTCTAATCTCCTGCCTAGCAGATGGGCTCCCTGCTATTGCTGCAGCTTTAAACGGACCATTCAGGCACTTGTCCATCAGTACAGTGACACAATCCTATTCTCCCATATAAATAGACCATTTTTCTCAGAACATGTATTCTCCACAAACTTTTTGAAGACCCCAGGTAGGCATGGGTTTAAAAAAAAAAAAAACCCTTTTGCACCAAAATAAACTCTTTTCCTAGAAACTGACCGAGCTCCTATCCCTAGTTCACTCCTCAAATACTCAGAGCTGGGCTGGGAGGAAGCTAGGCTCTGGGGACTTAATCCAGGCCTCCCATGTGGGTGGCAGGAACATAACGACTTGAGCCATCACTGCTGTCTCATGGAGTCTGCATCAGCAGGAAGCTGGAACGGGGAGCAAGAGTGGGAATCGAACTCAGGCCCTCTGATATGATATGTTAAGTGCCTTAACCTCCAGGCGAGATTCCCGCCCCTAAACTT